GCCTGCCACAACGCCCGGCTATTTTTTTGGTTGCAGCCATCATTGTTGTTTGGCAGGCCGGGCTGGATTCAAACCCGCCACCTTAGGTGTATGTGGCTGGCGTCTTAGCCACTTGAACCACAGGCGCCGAGCCAATTTGCTTTTTCTAAATTACTAATGTTGGAAAAAAATTTTTTTCTTTAAGAGACAGAGTCTTACTTTATTGCCCTTGGTAGAATGCTGTGGTGTCATAGCTCACAGCAACCTCCAATTCCTGGGCTTAGGTGATCTGTTGCCTCGCCTCCCGAGTAGCTGGGACTACAGGTGCCTGCCAAAACGTCCGGTTTTTTTTGTTGCTGTTTGGCAGGGGCCAGGTTTGAACCTGCCTCCCTTGGTATATAGGGCCAGTGCCCTACCCACTGAGCCACAGGTGTTGCCCCAGATTTTTTTTTTTTTTATTGTTGAGGGTTCGTAGAAGGTACAAGAAACCAGGTTACACTGATCGCATTTATAATTGTGTCTTGTCCCCAAAAGATGTGTCACACACCGAGATGTGTCACACACCGAGACCTCCACCCCCCTCCTTCTTCCCTCTCTCTGTTTTTCCTTCTCCCACCCCCCTTCTTCCTTCCCTCTCTCTGCCCACTAAAGGGGAGGGGCAGATGGGTGAGGTTTTAATACATAAAGCTTAAGAGTCAAAAGGGCATGAGTTTAGTCTTTAGTCCAGGATTCACCACTTACAAACTTATGTCTTTTGGCCTTTTGTAATTTTGTTTCATGTACAAGACGCATAGTGGTGAAGTCAGGGCTTTTTAGGGGATCCATCACCTGCATAACACACATCGTGCCCGTTACGTCATTTCTCACCATCATCTCAACCCTGCCACGCTCCCACCTTTCAACACCTCCAGCTCTTAGCCTGTGTGTGAATTTTTTTAGCTCCCACTGTGAGTGAGAACACGAGGTGTTTGTTTTTTTGTGTGTCATCTGCATTCTTGAGCAAGGTATTTAATCTCAGATTCAATTTGCTCCTCTGTAAACAGAGGAGAGAAAATATCCTGTGTTATCCTAGATTGTTCTTGTATTTGTGTGTGTGTGCTAGATTGTTAATTGCAGCTCAGTTTCCCTATTTACACGATGAGGAAACAACTCAAGTACCCATCAACCCAGGAATGGACTAATAAACTGTGGTAACTGTGTACCATGGAATACTGTTCAGCCATAAAAAGGATGGAGGCTTTATATCTTTCGTATTAACCTGGATGGAATTGAAACACGTTCTTCTTAGTAAAGTATCACAAGAATGGAAAGTAACTAGCCAATGTACTCAATACTAATATGAAGCGGCTCGGCTCCTATAGCTCAACCGGCTAAGGCGCCAGCCATGTACACCTAAGGTGGCGGGTTCGAATCCCCAGCCCGGGCCCGCCAAACAACAATGACAGCTGCAACCAAAAAATAGCCAGGCGTTGTGGCGGGCACCTGTGGTCTCAGCTACTTGGGAGGCGGAGGCAAGAGATTCGCTTGAGCCCAGGAGTTGGAGGTTGCTGTGAGCTGTAATGCCATGGCACTCTACCCAGGGGGACAGTTTGAGGCTCTGTCTCAAAAAAAAAAAAAGAAAAAAAAAAAACTAATATGAAGCCAGTAGATGATCTAATACACGCCCACACAACAGAAAAACTCAATTCAATTCAAGTTGGGGGGAGGGGGAATGAGGGAGGAGGATTGTTGTGCTCACACCTAATAGGCTTGATATAAGGGTACACGGCACACCTCTTGGGTGCAGGACACAACTACATCAGGGACCTTAGCTAACAAACACAAACAGTATAACCTAATCATTTGTACTCTCATTAATCTGAAATTTTAAAAAGGATCCTGTCTTAAAGGTCTTATGGATCTTTTTTTTAAAGAGACAGTTTTATTTTATCACCCTTAGTAGAGTGCCATGGCATCACAGCTCACAAGAACCTCCAACTCCTGGGCTTAAGTGGTTCTCTTGCCTCAGCCTCCCAAGTACCTGGGACTACAGGTGGTCTGCCTGGCTATCTTTTGGTTGTAGTTGTCATTGTTGTTTGGCAGGCCCGGGCTGGATTCGAACCCACCAGCTCCGGTGTATGTGGCTGGTGCCTTAGCCCCTTGAACCACAGGCCCTGGGCCCCACACCACCTCTTGCCCTCACTTAGTCGGAATGTGCTTCTCTTGCAGTCATAGGATGGGGGATAAACTAGCCAAGAAGTGTGTGTAGGGTCCACAGGACACAGAAGGAAGCCTGATGAGTCCATGTGTTGTGGGATGAGTTGACTCCCTTCGAATGCAGTTCTAATATCTCCTATTTGTGCCAGTGCTTCTGCAAAGGCAGAGAAAGGACAGGAGAGTAAATATTTACATTTGTTTATATTTGGGTTTTTTGTTTTTTTTTTTGAGACAGAGCCTCAAGCTGTCACCGTGGGTAGGGTAGAGTGTTGTGGCATCACAGCTCACAGCAACCTCAAACTCCAGGGCTTAAGCAATTCTCTTGCCTCTGCTTCCCAAATCCTGCTGGGACTACAGGCATCTGCCATGACGCCTGGCTATGTTTTTTTGGTTGCAGCTGTCATTGTTCTTTGGCAGCCCGGGCTGGATTCGAACCCGCCAGCTCAGATGTATGGTGGCTGGTGCCTTAGCTGGTGCCTTAGCTGCTTGAGCCACAGGCGCCAAGTCTATATTCGGGATTTTTTTTTCTTCTTAATATAGAGTAAACTGTTTCACTTAAGTTTTGAGCAATACCATTTTTTTTATGGTTGAGTAGTACTCTGTGGCATACAAATATCACATTTTATTAATCCACTCATGTATTGATGGACATTTGGGTTGTTTCCCACATTCTTGCAATTTGTGGATTGTGCTGCTATAAATCTTTGAGTGCAAGTGTCTTTTTTTTTTTTTTTTTTTTTGAGACAGAGCCTCAAGCTGTCCCCCTGGGTAGAGTGCCATGGCTTCACTGCTCACAGCAACCTCCAACTCCTGGGCTCAAGCGAGTCTCCTGTCTCAGCTTCCCAAGTAGCTGGGACCACAGGTACCCCCCACAACGCCCGGCTATTTTTTGGTTGCAGCCATTGTTGTTTGGCGGGCCCGGGCTGGATTCGAACCCTCCACCTTAGGTGTATGTGGCTGGCACCTTAGCTGCTTGAGCCACAGGCGCTGAGCCTTGGGATTTTTTTTGTACACAAATATCCTTGGAAGAAATGTAAGAATTAACCTGGAAGAAGAATGTAAGAGGGAGATTCTTTCCTCTTTATGCCTTTGGATTTTTTTGAAATTTGAACCATATGAAATAAGTGTGTTCAACAAATAATTGAAGAAAGTTGGGCTCAGCACCCATAGACCAGTGGTTGGGGCTTGGCCACATACACCGGGGCTGGCAGGTTCAAACCCAACCTGGGCTTGCTGAACAATAATGACAACTACAAACAAAAAAAAATAGCCAGGCGTTGTGGCAGTCCCGGCTACTGGGAGGCTGAAGCAAAAGAATCACAGAAGCCCAAGAGTTTGAGGTTGCTGTGAGCTGTGACGCCACAGCATTCTATGGAAGGTGACATAGTGAGACTGTCTCAAAAAAGAAAAAAAGTTGGAGTATTTCAACTTCAAGCTGTAATGGAGGAACAGGGGCCTGACTTAACCTCCCACCTAAAACAATGAAAACTAAGTAATAAAACAATAGCTATGCTATATATACTATTTTTTTTTAAAATTTCAGATTAATGTGAGAGTAAACTAGGTTACAATGTGTGCATTTGTTAGGTAATGTCCCTGATGTAGCTGTGTCCTGCCCCTAGGAGGTGTGCCATGCACCTTTACATTGTGTCCTTTAGATGGGAGCACACCGCTCCCCTCCCCCCAACTTGAATTGAGTTTTTCTCTTATGTGGCATGTATTAGACCGTCTACTGGCTTCATATTAGTATTGAGCACATTGGATTCTTGTTTTTCCAATCTTGTGATACTTTACTAAGAAGAATGTGTTTCAATTCCATCCGGGTTAACGCACAAGACATAAAGCCTCCATCCTTTTTATGGCTGAACAGTATTTGAAGGTACACAGATACCACAGTTTCTTAGTCCATTCCTGGGCTGATGGGCATTTTGATTGTTTCCACACCTTGGCGATTGTGAATTGAGCTGTAATAAACAATCAAGTATAAATATCCTCATGATAAAATGAGTTTTTTTCTTCTGGGTAGATGCTATAGATTATTATAATGGGATTGTAGGATCAAATGGGAGGTCTAATTTGAGTTCTTTGAGGATTCTCCATACTTCTTTCCATATTTTTTTTCCATCGGCATTACTTTGTTTTATTTTCTAATATTCTTTAAAATGTGTATATTAATGTTCAGGATTAGGGGTTTTACAGGAGGACATTTTCTTACATAATCATAGTACAATTTTCAAAATCAGAAAATTAACACTAATACAATACGATTAAGTAATACATACATAGAGAGATCTTATTTAAATGTTACCAGTTGTCCCACTGATACCCTCTTTAGACTTTCTAAAAAATATTCTCTAGCTGCAGTCTTTTTTTTCTTTTTTAACATAGTTTTTGCCTCATTTAATCACACTGTTAAGACATTTGTGTTCTGCACTTGATAGATTTGACTTGTACCCTTGCAATATGCTCCATAGGTGTGGTCCCACCCTTAACCCTCCCTCTACCAAACCACACCCTTCCTTTCCCATCCCCGTCCCCTTCCCTCCTTCATCCTGGGCTATAGTTGTGATTCGTCTTTCATATGATATTTTCTAATATTCTATCGTGTAAGAAGAAATGACAGGGAGATATTTTTAGAGAAGCCAGAAAAGTTCACAGTCTTGCTTGAGGATGTCACATGTGCAATAGAGAAGTATCACCTTTCACCTGAGGTTCAGCGGAGCTCCCTGAGATGTTGTTTCCCCCTCACCTGTACCACTTTCTGCCTTTGTCCCCACAGGTTGTCTGGCTGCTTTCTCAGGAATCCTTCCTGGGACTTACTCCATGCAGTTCTTAGTAAAAAAAGCCTGTGCTCTCTGGACCTCAGCACAAGCAGCCTATACAACAAAGGACTGAAAGTTCTCTGTGCAGCCCTGAGACACCCAGACTGCTGCCTCCAGTCACTGGGGTAGGTGTCTTCCAGCTTTCCATTGAACTTCAAGCCACCAACTAACCAGGTGTTTTCAAGGCCTTGTATTGCAGTGAAGGCAGAGAATCTGAGGAAGGAAGACCACAGTGTCTGGGCCTGAAAAGGTGAAGGTCAAAAACATATGACCTGTTCCCTTGTAGAGACGTCCAGGTGAATGAGCCTGGGTCTTGACTTATGGGTCACAGGTGTAATGTTCTGTGAGTGGTCCCCAGTACAGTGTACACAAAGGACCAAGAGGAAGAATAATTATGATGTGGGGCTGAGGGATGGTCGTATCACAGAAGGCACAGGGAAAGGACAGGCCTTCAACAAATGATGCAGGACAATTGTAGTTGTCTCTTGGGTCCAAAGAGGATTGGTTCCTTGGATCCTCAAGTCCTTTATAAAATGGTACAGTGTTTGCATGTAACCTACAAATATCCCCTATATCCTTTAAGTTATTTCTAGGGGCTGTGTGCGTGGATTGCGCCTGTAATCCCAGCACTCTGGAAGGCCGAGGCAGGCAGATCACTTGAGCTCAGGAGTTCCAGACCACCCTGAGCAGGAGTGAGACCTCCATCCCTAAAACTAACCACGTGTTGGGGCAGGAACCTATAGTCCCAGCTACTCGGGAGGCTGAGGCAAGAGGATAGCTGGAGCTCAAGAGTTCTAGGTTGCTGTGAGCTTTGATGCCATGGCACTCTGCCTATGGTGACAGAGTGAGACTGTCTCAAAAAAAAATTATCTCTATGTTACTTATAATACCGAATACAATATAAATGTCATGTAAAAAGCTGTCGTGTCCTGTGATTAATTTGTATCACCTTTCGTTGTTCCGTCATGGCGTTCCTGAGTATTTTTGACCTGTGGTGAGTTGAATCCATGGTTGTGGGGGGCCAATGGTACCTATCCATGGTGATGAGGAAGACTGTCCTGTTCTGGCATCTTTCCTTTCCTGATTATCAAATGACATACGCGTTTCATGACTATTCTTTTACAGTTTGGCCAATTGTTCTTTCACTGCTGCGGGCTGTCAAGACCTTGCCTCAGTTCTTACCAGCAATCAAAAGCTGACAAGTCTGCAGATTGGGCTCAACAAGATAGGAGACGTGGGTGTGAAGGTGCTGTGTGACGCTCTGACGCATCCCAACTGCCACCTGGAGATTCTTGGGTGGGTATTGCCACGGCTGTGGTTCTGTCTTCATGAATAGCAAAAGGAAAAGAAGTGATGGGCAGAGAGAGAAAGAAAAACACTGCCCCAGAGATAACAGAGCAGTTAGCTGTTGTTGTGTAATGAGCCTGTGGGTCTTAGATTGGTTGCAGACAGTGAGCTCTTACCGCTGCTGCTCAGGACCAGGCATCACAGAGCTTGGCATCACTGAGCTTGGCCGGCCATTCTCAGGAAGCTGTGGTTACCCGGGGGACTGGCCAGTCTGGTGTGGAGGTAGGCTGGCTGGCTGTCCCCTAGGGATGACAGGTGTGACTGGACTATATCTCATTGTCTGGGCTCGCTGATGTGGCACCTGCATCAGTTTTGCTGGGGCTGCCCTAACAAAGTATTACAGAAGGCTGGCTTACACATAAACTCACCGTCTCACAGTTCTGAATGCTGAAAGTCCAAGTTCAAGGTGTTGGCAGGGCTGAGAGGGAAGGGAGGATGTGTTCCAGGTCTCTTCCCTGGGCTTGCAGACCACTGTCTCTCATCTCCTGGTATTTTCTTTTGTGCGTGTATATACATGTCCAATCCCTCCTCTTATAAGGACACCAGTCACACAGGGTGGGGAAGCGTCCTAATGTCCTCATTGTAACTTAATTGTAAAGACCCCCATCTTCAAATGTAGTCACACTTGGGGCTTAGAATTTCAACATATGAATGGGGAAGGGGGCACAATTCAGCCCATAACAGCAGCTCAAGAGTTCTAGAGATCAAGAAGCTTAGATGGCATCTGAGATGCAGGCTCAGAACTGACATGGTCTTACTCTGTGTTAGTATCTGAGGCAAAGTTCAGGGGTGGTCCAGATTCCAGGCCTGGGGAGTAGACTTTAATGACTGAGTGGAATAGGCTGTCCAGTCACATTGTCATGAGTGTGGCTACAGAGAAGAATGGACAGTGGGGGCCATAAGGAATAATCTGATGCTATACACACTGGATGGTAAGACCCCGTGCTCAGAGGTGACGGGGTGAGCCTTGGCTATCTATGTGTCTCTCTCACGTCCCACCTCCACCTGAGGGTGGGGCTGCTTCCCATTGTCTGTCTTTTCATTGCAGGTTGAAGGATTGTGGGTTGACCAGTGCCTGCTGCAGGGACCTCTATTCCGCTCTCACCAACAGTAGGACCCTACGGGTGCTGGACCTGACCCTGAACACCTTGGACCACAGAGGAGTGGCTGTGCTCTGTGAGGCCCTGAAATACACAGCGTGTCCCCTGTGGTTTCTTGGGTGAGCTGGGGTCCCTTCTTCCTAGTGGTGGGGAGAGTGCTGGGGTCTAAGAAAGGATTGCACAACTCTTGCAAACTAATCATGTTGCATTAAAACACAAATCATGTTCCCTATCTTGGGGTCAGTGTATTGGTTAGAGATAGTGGCTATAAAGCCCTCACTCTCCACAGTGCCTAGGGAATGGGGAGTGCCCAGTAAATGTGGCATTTGGTACTGTTATAATGTAAATTATCATTCATAAATACTTACATTTGGGGCGGCACCTGTGGCTCAGTGGGTAGGGCGCTGGCCCCATAAACTGAGGGTGGCAGGTTTGAACCCAGCCCTCACCAAACTGCAACAAAAAAACAGCCAGGCGTTGTGGCAGGCACCTGTAGTCCTAGCTACTTGGGAGGCAGAGGCAAGGAGTTGGAGGTTGCTGTGAGCTCCATGTGACGCCATGAAACTCTACCGAGGGCAATAAAGTAGGACTCTGTCTCAAAAAAATAAAAATAACCGCAAATACTTAAATTTGTAAATATAAGTTATTCTTATATTTATAAATGTAATTTACATTTGTAAATATATTTGTAAATATAAATGATAAGTGATATCTTGTTTTGCAGTATAAAAATATATAACTTATGTTCATTTATAAGCATGGTTTTATATTTATAATTATTAATATGATATTAGTCATGTATATTATAATTCTACATTGTATTAGGTAACTATATAATGCTAAGCACTTATCCCTCTCATTCATTTTGCCCTACCTGTTTTTCAAAGCAATCTGAGATCAAGGCAATCACAGGCAGTGATCAGGCTTCTCTTTCACTTCTAGGAAAGAGAAGATGTTGGGTTAAAATTACTATAACTCCAGCACTAAAGAACATTCACTTATTTTCCCTCTTACAAAGGCAGAGGTTTGTTTCCTTAAAGTCCATTCTTATAAATCTTCATCTAAAAATGTTGGAGACTTGGCACTATTTCTTTCTCATTTTAAATTTTGGGAAAAGTTCAGAACAGGTAGTGCCAGAGTTTGAAGCCGTGGAAATACTCGCACTGCCTTGTTATTTTCTGCCAGAGGCCTGTGTTTCAATTCTAGCTTTTCCATATTTAGTCCTGTAACCCTGGGCAAGGCATTTGCCCTCTCCAATGATCAGTCTTCTGTGTACAAAATAGAGGTGATTATTTCACACAGTAATTGTGAAAATATACATCAAACTGTATGAAAAATATGATGAAACCAAGTATGTGAGTTTACATCTTGTCCTGCCCTGCCTCCAATCACTCATGGCTTCCCAAAGGTGTGCCATCTACAAAAATGGACAGTTGCGAATAAACAGATAGGAAACAGAGACTGGGGATGCTGAATCCACAGAAGAGCCCGGACATGGTAATCCTTGAACCTGTTGTCTGATTCAAAGTGACGATGTAGTGTGATGGATCAGTGTGGGGACTCTGAAACTGAATTTCTGTGATCCACACCCTGCCCATACCACTGTCTAGTTTTGTGACATTGGGCCAGTTCTTTAACACAGCTTATCCTCAACATCTTCACCACAAATCAGGACAAAACAGTGTCCCATAAGGGGTGAAAGCTTAACGAGATATTCACATAGACGCCTAAGCAGAGGGCCAGGACCAGGCACTCGGATAACGAAACCTCTTCAAACTTTATCTTTTCAAGTAAAAACAGCTTCAGCCTTTTCCCCTGCACATTCCAATCCCTAATGTTTATGTCGAAGTGGTGTTTTCTGTTACTAATTCTAGACATGTATTCGGTCCAGTAACATGTTAGACGCGGCACCCACAAGCTGGTGAGGTCCCTTTGTGTGCACCTCTTCATAACGTGGTTTGTAGTCACAGCAAGTTGGCAGCTTGAAACTGGCCGTGATTGGATTAGAGAATTTACACCACAGAAATGGGCAAAAGGGCAAGGCTCAAAACCAAGGTTTTGGGTTTTTTTTAGATCTATGCATAAACATGTATTAGCACATCACTGCAAGTGGGGGATATGCCCTTTCCTTTGGAGGCAACACCATGGTCTCCTAGATTTGTCCTGGGAGGAGATAATGGAGGAAGATGAGATGCAGAAAACGTGAATTAAACATAGGGCTCCCCCTCCTTTTTTTTATATTTTACCAGGCTGCCAAAAACTAGAGTTGATGAGGAAACCCAGATGCTTCTGACAGCCGTGGAAGAGAGAAATCCGCACTTGACAGTTCATAGGCATTTAGTGAAGCCGAGACGGGACCACAGCGGTAGTTCCCTGATTTCAGGGAACCTGGACTCATTCTGACTCGGGGTCACCTGCGCAGGCCTGGAATCAGGGCTTTTACTCACGCCACCCTGTATCCACACATTACAAACCTTTGATACTCCGAGATGTGATCTTCCGGGGACCCCATTCAGATGTGTTTCATGAAATGTATATTTTTATCTGCTCTTTGGCCTTGCATAAGCCACTGAAAGAGCTTTGTGGTAAAATTTCTATTCCATCTCCCAAAGACATTATAAACACTCAATAAAGTATTACATCTTTTTATCCCCTTTTTTATTTCAGAATATTAAGGGGTACAAATTTTTTTTTGCATGGATACATTGCAATAACACTGATGTCCCAGCTTTCAGCCTGTCCCCATGGTCATGTTCATTGGGCCCAACAGGTAAGTTTTTAATCCCTTACCCACTTCCAAACCTCCCCTCTTCTTAATCTCCAGTGTGCTTTTATCTTTGTGCCTGTGTGTCCCCATCACTTAGCTCCCAATCATTAGTGAGAACATCTGGTGTTTGTTTTTCCATTCCTGAGATAGTTCACTTAGGATGATGGTCTCCAGTTCCACCCAAGTTGCTGTGAAAGACATTATTTTATTCCTATTTTTGTAGCTGAGTAGTGCTCCCTGGTTTGTGGACACATCATACGTGTGTGCATGTATTTAAATATATACATATCCTACATTTTTTTTTATCCACTCATGAATTGATGGGCACTTGGGTTGGTTCCACATCTTAGTAATCGTGAACTGTGCTGTGATGAACACATGGGTGCATGTGTCTTTGATAAAATGACTTCTGCTGTGGGTAGATACCCAGTAGTGGGATTGCTGGAGAGCATGGCAGGTCTACTTTTAGTTTTTTGAAGAGTCACCATACTGTTTTCCACAGAGGTTGTGCTAATTTGTAGTCTTATATCTTAAAACACACTTTGGATAATCTTAAAACAGAACGTATTACTGGTGACTGGCTGGTGCAAGAGTGTGGACAGAAGGAACCGTGGTCCTCCCTGTGTGTTGACTTGCAAGGATCCTGGCTTCTGGGGGAGCACTGGGAAGGCTGGTCCAACATGGCAGCCTTTGTTAGTCCTACCAAGGCTCCAACTCGAGCTCTTCCTCTTGCCTGATGGAAGAACTTTAGAAGTACATTGTTAAAATTTAGAAATGTACAACCTGTCCATTCCCCCTAATACTACAGATAAAGGCAAAGATCCTTTTTTACCCCCAAACCTGTCCTCATACCCCTCTCTCTAATCCCCCCACATTACTCTATTATGAGATTCATAGATACTTTCCAGTATCATCCATATGTTTTTACATAGTATTAACACTTGACTATATCTTTCAACAACATAGCATTGGGATTTTTTTTAATCACATAAAAGATGTCACACTAGCTATACTATTCTGCAAGTTGTTTTCACTTAGTCTATCCATGATATTTATATATAAACACATGCATATGTATGTGTATATCAACACTAACAAAATGAAAAAACTCCAGAAGAATATTTGTGTGTATACCAACATGGGTAAACAGTGGGAGAACTTGCAGAATGATTTGTTTAGCAAGTTATATACATGTAGGCGGTACCTGTGGCTCAGTGAGTAGGGTGTCAGCCCCGTATACCAGACGTGGTGAGTTCAAATCCGGCCCCTGCCAAAAACTGCAAAAAAACCCCCAAGATACATACATGTATGCGTGTGTGTTGATAAAAGCAAAAGCATTTCTTTTTTGGTATACAAGTTTTAATATATGTATACATTGTGGAATGGAAAACATGGAAATCAAGCTAATTAGCATATGCATACCTTATTTTTCGTGGTGCTAAAATTTCAGCAATTTAAAAATACACAGTATATGAATGACAGTCACCGTGATGTGCAGTAGAGCTCATGAACTCATTCCTCCTGTTTAACTAAAGCCCTGTGTCTTATGATCCTCATCTTCCATTCCCTCCAGCCTTTGGTGACCGCATTATACCTGCTTCTTCTAGGAGTTCAACTTTTGTAGATCTTACTGTAAATGAGATCACCAGTGGTTTGTTTCTCTGCTTGGCTTATTTATTTTTATTTTTTTGAGACAGTCTCACTATGGTGCCCTCTGTAGAGGGCCGTTGCAGTAGAGTGCTGTCACGTCACAGCTCACAGCAACCTCATACTCTCAGGCTTAAGGGATCTCTTGCCTCAGACCCCCAAGTAGCTGGGACTACAGGTGCCTGCCACAATGCCTGGCTATTTTTTGGTTGTAGTTGTTTGGCAGGCCTGGGCTGGATTTGAACCTACCAGCTCCGGTGTATGTGGCTGGCACCCTAGCCACTGAGCTACAGTGCCAAGCCTGTCCAGTTATTAATGACATCATTTTTGGTCACTGGGCACATTCTCACATTCTGAATTTAATACTTGAGAACACTTTAGAGTCCTCTTGTGCCTCCAGAGAGCTGAGGATTTAGAAACAATGTCTATGTCCAGTCACTCCAGTAAAGTGTCGAGTTCTGAAGAGGTGACGATTGTCTCACTGGGAATTGGATGATCTTATGATTTCAGCATGATTGTTGACTTTTCCACATTTTCTTTAATGCAGATATTAATATGATGCCCAGGAAGGTGACGAACTGTCAATACGCAGCTCTGCGTGCTTATCCCCGTCCCCTCCCTACACATGTAGAAGGCGCAGGTTCAGTTAATGCTTCTCATGTCACCTCACTGAGGAATGAGACTCACGTGGTTCCTGAATTACAGGTTTCGGTGGCATGAGAATAGAAGTAATTACAAAATAACGGTAAAATGTGGAATTGGAGACAGGCTTTATTCTCCAGGGTGAGTCTGTTCTGTGGAATATGTCAATGTCTCCTTTTTCAAGGAGAAAAAGGCTGGAATACTTTTCTAACGTGAGAACCCAACCATGGTGCCGTCATCACCAGCTCAGCTGGCTCTGCAGTCCCTGCCATGCCTTCTCAGTACGGTAGCCTCACAACCCCAGGGGAAGTGGCTCTGAAAACCATCTTTCCTCTCTTGGTCGTGGTCGGGACTCTGGCCAGTGTCCTTATGTTCCTCCATAATGTCTCTCCAATCCTGACCGGCCTTAGGATTAGGGCCACACTCAACTCTCACCCACCTGGCTGTGGCCAACTCACCGATCCTCTCCATTGAGCTCCCCCACTCAGTAGTGACCTTTATTCTGCAAAAGCCCTTGTCCACTCTAGGGAGAGAACCGGTTTATTATATCCACCTGGTGGCTCTCAGCACCATGTTGTCCTCCACTTGTGTCATGAGGACCTATGGGTTCCTCACGCATCTTTAGGAGCCCTCTCAGCCATGGGTCCTGCCTGTGCACCTGCTGGCCATTTAGTTCCATGTGGAATATCTATATTCCTGTGACACTCAGTGGTCCCTGGAACACAAATGATACCAACACATAAGGCCATTGGCTCTGCCCATTCTGTGCACTGCAGGTCTAGTCTTCCTGTGGCAGTTCCTGAGGCCCTGCTCATTGGCCACGTGGGCAGCCCCATGGCTCCATGATGTCTTTCCTGCAGAGATACCACCAGAGAGTACAGCACGTCCATACCCCCAGCCAGCACCACAAAAGACCCACCTCATCATGGCTGATGCATGCCTCAGGGGCTCCGGGTTCATGTTTTCCCACTGCTTGCCCCTTACTATTGATCTTTAGGACCCCTCAAAGCCTGGGTTCACCTCTCGAAGTGCAGACCAGACTGTCATGACTAAAATACTAAATTTAGCAGACAGCATCCACAACAGCGACAGTGACTCCACTCAGTTATCATCATCTGAGCACCCCTCTCCCATGTGAAACCCACAATGACCTGGGAAACTCAGTGTGACATTGTTGCTGTGTTGGTGGGTCTCACTCTTGTGGCCAGTGGAATTATTTAAAAGAAATCTCATCTCTTGGCTCAGCACCCATACAGCTCAGTGGGTAGAGCACTGGCCACACACACTGAGGCTGGCAGGTTCTACCCAGGTCAGCTACCCAGGTCAGCTCAAAAACAGTAACAACTGCAACCAATAATAGCCAGGTGTTGTGGTGGGCACCTGTAGTCCCAGCTACTTGGGAGGCTGAGGCAAGAGAATCGCTTGAGCTCAAGTGTTTGAGGTTGCTGTGAGCTGTGATGCTACGGCACTCTACTGAGGGTGACATAGTGAGACTCTGTCTCAAAAAAAAGGAAGAGGCTCAGTGCCTGTGGCTCAAGCGCTAAGGCGCCAGCCACATACACCTGAGCTGGTGGGTTCAAATCCAGCCCGGGCCCGTCAAACAACAATGACGGCTGCAACCAAAAAATAGCCAGGCGTTGTGGCGGGTGCCTGTAGTCCCAGCTACTTGGGAGGCTGAGGCAGGAGACTCACTTGAGCCCAGGAGTTGGAGGTTGCTGTGAGCTGCAATGTGACGGCACTCTACCCAGGGCGACAGCTTGAGGCTCTGTCTTAAAAAAAAAAAAAAAGGAAGAAATCTCTCTTTAGAATTATGTAAAGAGTCCACAAAGTTCATCTGAATGTGAATACTCAGATCAATTGTGCTAATAGAGCTTAATTGGTTTAATCAATAATGTTAATAGTGCACTAATTCCTGACACACAGTGGCTCATAACTTACTATGGGTCTAAGTAAATATTCCTCCAAGGCGGGTTGATATTTTATTTCATAAATGATGACAAGAGACTTGAAATGTGAAGCATGCCTTTAGTTAGATAATTTTGTATCTTTATTTCTCTCGTGTTGCTGCCTAAGGTTTTATTTTATAGAAGACGCAGTGAATTACTGCCTCTTCCGTCCCTGCAGGTTTTCTTTATAGAGTTGACCCTCGGTACATTTTACTGATAGGATGGATGAGCATTGATAGGCTTCTCACTGGACAGTGGTCAGAGCTGCCATCTCTAGATTTGTTACTTGGAGTTTTAGTTGTCACTATTGAAAATCACAGCTGCGACTTGGTTTCTATTTTCTATCAGCTTCTTCCCCCCTTTTGTCTTTCCTTTTTAAATTTTTCCTGAGACATAGTCTTACTCTGTCCCCTGGATAAAGTGCTGTGGAGTCATAGCTCACAGCAACCTCATTCTCTTGGCCTCAAACGATCCTGTTGCCTTAGCCTTCAAAGTAGCTGGGACTACAGGTGTATGCTGCGAGCCCTGGCTAATTTTTCTTTTCTTTTCTTTCTTTCTTTCTTTTTTTTTTTTTTTTTTAATAGAGAAGGGATTTCCAGCTCAAGCTGGTTTCAAATTCCTGAGCTCAAGCAATCCACCTGCCTTGGCCTCCCAGCGTGGTAGGATGACAGGTGTGACCCACTGAGCGCAGTCTTGTCTTTCCTTTTGCTTTTTGTGGGACAGTCTGGCATGTTTCCTCGACATCGTTTTTTTTACTTAGTGGTATTAGTTATACTCATTTCTAGTGTGAGGTGTGGCCATCAAATTTTGGGTTCCTCAAGTACTATGTGATTAGCATTACTATGCCTCACTCGCCAGAATATATAGGAACCTGTGTGATCTGGGACCACTGCCACAGACCTTGTGCTACTATTTCCCATGTCCCAATTCTGTATGTGTCAAAACACAGAATAAAGCCTGGGTTAGCCATCAAGAGCCAGTTGTCTGTCGCAGGAATTTAGAGATGCAAAAGCAGTATGGTTCCCCAGCTATGCACTCAGTTGCCATTTCTGCTGCTCATCCTTCCTGAGGGCCCTGTTGGCTCCACCCACATGGTCATTTTAGGACAAGCAGCCTTGTGCTCCTACCCTGATGGGGGAGCTGGTCATCTTGGAGTACTGAGCTAACTACTCATCTCTAAGATCTCTCACTCATCATAGGATTCCTCAGGCAAATTCTCAGTCAAAGTTGTCTCAGGATCTAAAGACATCCCTCTACACGTCCAGGGAAATCTGTCCTGCATCTTGACCTTAAAAGAGGTGAGCCACCTGTGCTCAGGACTCCTAGCATGATCTCTCATTTGGTTGTTACTCTAGGACAAAAACAAAAAACAAAACAAAACAAAAAAAACCACCCTAAAATAGGAAAGTCTCATCAACACCAGGAAATAAGGAGGGAGTTTGTAAACAGTTTTAAAATCTTTCCATATTTCCCAATAATTCTAGGCACAATCTTTCTCATTCAAAATCCTTATTCTTTGTTCCTATTTTTATAGAGTCTTTGCACATACAGAGATATCCTATGCCATATGTGAGAGCAAGAAAGTCGTGGTCTCTAACTTTATTTGTGGACCTCAGTCAGGAAGGATGAGAAAAATCTTTTATCAACACCCCCCCCTAAAATAACTACAATTTCTACCAGGGGTAAAAAGCACTTGTTGCTGTGAAACATTTAGGTTATTTTGTCTTAGTCGGGGGTTCGAGGACAGACTGTGGTACAGGGGATGGGCAGAGCTATAGGAGCTCAAGTGGATGCCACTACCAGGCCGCTGTAGGAGGAGGGAGGAGGCCTGTGTGGCCTCTGCTTGCTGACCTGCTGACTCCCTCTCCACAGTAGATGTGACCTGGAATGTGGACACAGCCAACAAATTTGTTGCCATTTGTGATGACTGGAGGAGGGTTGAAAGGTGGCATCTCAGACAGAATCAGCAAAAGTGTACTGAGAAGTTCTACCATGTGATGTGTGCCCTGAGTTCCCCTGTCTCTCCTCTGTCAGCCACCACTGGGAGGTGGACACGAGAAAGACCAGAACCTGGGCCCTGGGGATTGACAGAGAATCTCTTCTTCAAAAAAGAGTGATCCACTGTGCACATAGTCTGGATTTTGGATATTGGTTTGAGACAGGGAAAGTTTGCAGCCAGCACCACACTTCAGCCTGTCCTCAGTGTAGACACTCGGGTGTGCTGAGTGGCCCTTTTCCTAGATATGGACATTGGGAATGTCTCCTGTCACCACGCAAATAGTATCCAATTTTGCCCTGTGCATGATGAGTCCTTGTGGGATTCTGAGCTCAACAGTGCTGTAATTGGCTCTAGATTTTAGAGGGCTCGTTATGTTAGGAGGGTAAAGGAAGGCCAGGGAAGAAGCCGTGGTAGTAATCCGGGTGAGAGATGATAATGGAGTAGACTACGGCAGTGGGAATGATTTGGAGAGTAGGAAAGTGGAATCAAGTGAGTAAGTAAAATAAAAGGGAGAGTAAGAAGGAAGGATCATGGTTTCTGGTTTGCGTAACTGGGTAGATGAAAAATCATTTATCATGATGGATTGGAGACAGTGAAGTGGATTTTCTGGAAAATATTTATTCTTTCACCTGAGCATTTTCTACATGCTAGGCATGTGTTTAAGCCCTGCCATAATTTCCAATTAGGACATACATTTTAGATACCTTGAAACATCCAGACAAGATGTCTAGCCAATGGGTAGAGATAGGCATCCAAAGCTCAGGAAACATGTCTCCGTTTTGTTATTACAAACAACATTGGGACACATGTCCTTGTGGGTCATTTTTTCTCAGGTGCCTAATTAGCTATATGGTGCAGAAGGTATTAGTGAAATGAGAATGGCTAAAATTTACACTCCCATACCATGTCATTGATATTACTTTTAAAATAACGTCCTATTAATTTTTGATCTGGTGTGATTGACTTAATTTTCCAAAGAAAGAACGAATGTGCAACTGCGTGACTGAGCAGTACAATATGACTGATGTCTATAAACTTGATAATAGAATCAAAGGTTAAAAATCCTCTTCAGCAGCATTTTTTATCCCTTTCAGAGAAATCTGCTACTTTCTTTGACATAACATTTTAGATACGATCACTACTTACATAGTGTGATAGCCTAATGAATAAGCACAATCCTTTTTGGCAAATGGGCAAAATTTAGAAAAAGTCATAACTGTATGTACATTCTGATCCAGTATTTCAACTTTTGGAAAATTCTAAAGAAATCATCTAAGCGATAGAAAAGAAGCTGTATGCATGATGATGTTTATCATAGATTTATTTATAGCTTTTAAAGAAAAGGAAGCAACCTTGGTGTCTATGGGAGTAAATTATAGTTCATTTACACGTAGCCATTAAAATTATGGTTAGGAAAATTATAGAGAGTCATGAACATGCCAGTGATGGGATGTTAAAAGAGACAATCCAGGAGAAAAATTTGAAGTAGATTATAATTGCAATTCTGTCAAAAATACATAGGAAAAATAATGGAAATAAATTTGCCAAAATGCGAACAATAGTTGCATTTAGATGGGGAAAATTATGGGTTATTATTTTTATTTATTTTTCCAAATAATATGTGTACCAGAGGTTGATTATTTTTGTTTTTCCAGTGATTGCTTGCCCTTTCTCTAGTAAATGCTCCCAGACTCTCCAGAGGCAATTGCTGGTTCCTTCTCTGAGTTTATGTGGCTTCACTGAGGGTGACTCCGTTCCTGCCAGGGATATAGCCCAAGCCAAGATCATCAAAAGCAGTTAGAACCAATTCTAGGACTTTCATCATAAGAACTTTCAGACAAGATGCAAGTTCTTTCCAGAAATAACTATGGTTTGTGAGAAGACAGGGTGTAAGTCTAGAGCTACAGGCAGCCACATGGCCACCACAGGGTACAGCTCCTCTGTGAAAGGACCCAAGACAGAGGAGAGCAGAGACAAGAGATGGAGACAAGAAAACCAAATTCTGAGAACATTTTTGGAGCTTCAGACACATGGTGTGAAGTTACCTCTGGAATGTTCAGTTACATGTCCTCATAAGTTTGTTTTGGCTTAAGCCAGTCTGATTGTTTCTCTCTTTTTACAACAAAAAGAGACTTGATTAACTGAATAATCAGATAAGATTTTTTTTTTTTTTTTTTTGTAAGAAACAGAGTCTCACTTTATCGCTCTGGGTAGAGTGCTGTGGCGTCACACAGTTCACAGCAATCTCCAACTCCTGGGCTTAGGCAATTCTCTTGCCTCAGCCTCTGGAGTAGCTGGGACTACAGGCGGCCGTCACAATGCCCGGCTAAAGATTCTTTTTTTTTTTGACACAGAGCCTCAAGCTATCTCCCTGGGTAGAGTGCCATGGCAGCAATCTCCAACTCCTGGGCTCAAGCAAGTCTCCTGCCTCAACCTCCCAAGTAGCTGGGAC